TGGTGGCTTTATCTGGGTTTGCCTGTGTACTATGATGCTCTACTTTTGGAGCACACACACTATGAACTGTTCTATATTCTGGAAACATTGACTTTTTTTATTATGTGATGTTCTTCTTGATGCCTGACAAATTCTTTTGTTCTGAAGATTGCTTTGTCTGACATCAATATTGCTACCTCTACTTTTTTTGATAAATGTTATATATATATATATATATATATATATATATATATATATATAGATAGATAGATAGATGTATATATACACACATATATATTTCACTTCTTTAATTCTCTTTGTCTTCATATAAAGTGGGTTTGTTGTTGACAGTGTGGAGTTCATTCTTGTAACTACTGCTACTGTATTTAATCACTCTGATAGTCTCTGCCTTTTAGTTGGATTATATAGACTATTCATATTTATAATGATTACTGATGAAATTGAATTTATATTTAACATGTCAGTAAATATTTTCTGAGCATTTTACATTCTATGAAGCTAGTATCACCCTGATACCAAAACCACCAGAGACACATCAAGGAAAGAAAACTCCAGACCAATATCCCTGATGAACATAGATGCAAAATTTCTCAATAAAATTCTGGCAAATTGCATAAGAAAACATATTAAAAAGATAGTGTACCATGATCAAGTGGGGTTTATCCTAGGGATGCAAGTTTGGTTTCAATAAATGGAAATCAATAAACTTAATTCATCATATGAATAGACTTATAGACAAGAATCATATTATTATCTCAATAGATGCAGAAAAAGTATTTGACAAAATACAGCACTCCTTCATCTTCAAAACACTAGAAAAACTAGGAATAGCAGGAACATATATTAACATTGTAGAAGCTACATATATTAAACCCAATGCTAACATCATAAATGTAAAAAAGTGAAAGCTTTCTCTCCAAAAAGTGGAACAAGACAAAAATGCCCTATTTCACCATTTTTATTTAACATAGTTCTTGAAACTCTAACCTGAGCAATTAGACAGAAGAAAGAAATTGAAGGGATACAAATAGGAAAAGAAGAATTCAGACTATCACTATTTGCTGACGACATGATTCTATATTTGGAAGATACAAAAAATTTCACCAGAAAATTCTAGAACTACTAAATTAATTCATCAAAGTAGCAGGATATAAAATAAACACCCACAAATCAAATGCATCCCCATATATTAGTGGTGAATCCACTGAAAGAGAAATTAGGAAAACTACCCAATTCACAATAGCCTCAAAAGAAAAAATAAAATATTGGGAATCAATCTGTAGAGGTAATAGACCTCTACAACAGAAACTGCAAAACACTAAAGAAAGAAATAGAAGAAGACCTTAGAACATGAAAAGCTCTCTCATGCTCTTGGATAGGCATAATTAACATTGGCAAAATGGCCATACTACCAAAAGCATTATACAGATTTAATGCAATTCCTATTAAAATTCCATTGACATTCTTCATAGAACTAGAAAAAGCAATCATGAAATTCACTTGGAAAAATAAGAGCCCCAGAATAGATAAAAAGTAATCTTAACAAGAAAAGTGAAGAAGGAAACATCATAATACTAGACGTTAAATTATACTACAGAGTAACAATAATGGCACGGTATTGGCACCAAAACAGACATGCAGGCCAGTGTACAGAATAGAAAACACAGAGACAAACCCATATAACTACAGTTATCTCACAATAGGCAAAGGGGCCATAAACATACAGTGGAGATAACTAGGAAAACTGAAAATCCAAATGTAGCAAAATGAAATTTAATCCCTATCTCCCATCCTGCACAAAATTCAACTACATGTTGATCAAAGACTCAGGCACTAGAACAGAGACCCTGTGCCTAACAGAAGAAAAAGGAGGCCCAAATCTTCATCATGTAGGCTTAGGAACTGACTTCCTTAACCAAATTCCTAAAATGCAAGAAGTATAATCAAGAATCCATAAATAGGATTGAATCAAACTAAAAAGCTTCCTCAGAGCAAAAGAAACAATCGATAACATAAAGAGAGAGCCTATAGAATGGGAAAAAATCTTTACCACCTCAGACAGAGCATTAACCTTCAGGATATATAAAGAACTCAAAAAACTTACCACCGAAAAAACAAATAACCCAATTGATAAATGGGCTAAGGAACTGAACAGACACTTCACAGAAGAAGAAATACAATAGATAAAAAAATATATAAAAGAATGTTCAAAATCTCTAGATATTAGCAACATGCAAACAAAAACAACACTGAGATTTCATCTCACTCCATTCAGAATGGCAATTATCAAAAATACAAGCAATAATAAGTGTTGGTGCAGATAGGTGAAAAAAGGTACACTCATACATTAATGGTGGGACTGAAAATTGGTACAACCAACATGGAAAGCAGTATGGAGAGTCCTCAGAAGACTTGGAATGGAATTACCATTTGATCCTGTTATCGCACTCCTCAGTTTATTCCCAAAGGACTAAGCCACATCAATGTTTATAGCAGTTCAATTCATAATAGTTATGTTATACTACCAACCTAGGTGCCCTTCAACAGTTGAATGGATAAACAAAATGTTGTACATATACACAATGGAATATCACTAAGCTTTAAAAAAGGATAAAATTATGACACTTTGTTAGAGTCTGTAAACAAGTCAGGATGGCACCTAGCAAATGTTAGAGTCTGTAAACAAGTCTGGATGGCGCCTGGCAAAATGCCAGGGGGAGTGGTTTGTGAAATAACACCAGCAAGCCATTAAGTGTGGAGATTCCTTATTGGTTGACTGCTGTATCTAGTTTATGCTAATTAGATAAGCTGTGTGGAATGTATAAATACTGCTCCTGTCCTGCAATAAACGGCTCCTACTCCTGCTGTATCAATCGACACAAGTCGTTCGTCACCCCCCATTATTTTGCTCAGCCAGCTGGGCTGCGGCAACACTTTCCGGTAAATGGATGCAGCTGGAGAATATCATGTTAAGGAAAATAAGCCAATTAGAAAGAAATGAAGGTCAAATGTTTTCTCTGATATGTTTATGCTAATACAAAATAAGAGGGAGGGCTAGGGAAGAATAGTGGTACTTTGGATTAGACAGAGGGAAGTGAAAGAAGAGGAGGGGGGTAATAAAAATAGTAGAATGAACTGGATTTTATTACCCTATGTGCATGTATGATTACACAACCCGTGTAACTAGACATCATGTACAAACAGAAGAATGAGAAGTTATACTCCATTTATGTATGATGTGTCAAAATGCATTCTATTGTCATGTGTTGCTTATTTAAAATAAATTCTAAAAAACTAAATAAATTTCTAAAAAAAGGAAAACTAGATAAAATTTATAACATTGGAAACAATTTTGAAATGTCAGTTGTCCAATTTGCCATAAAACTAATACAACTGATCGAATAGATCAATTCAGAGACTGAAATGGAAAACTGGGTTGATGATATTGATGATAGACCTATCAATGATGAGATACCCTTGGAAGTCAGATCAATTTCAGGGATTAGGATGGACACCTAAAGTGCCCTAGAATGATGGAGGACAGAAAACAATTGAAGGGCACAGAGAGCGTTTTCTTAGCTGGGAGAATGCCTAAGAGGCACTAGAAGCCTTTGCAGTGTAGGCACCATTTGTATGAGTGGTGTGGTTTTCAGAGAAAGTAGAAAAGCCTTCTACCTCAACAGGCTTATAAAATAAAGTGAACAACAGCGGGGGGTGGGGGGTGGGGGCGGGGGGGCTGTCCTCTTTTCGTTTGGAATCAGGCTCATTGCTTTTTTGTATTTATCCAAACGCAAAGTGCTTCGGTCTTTGGAATAGTTTTGATTGCCACGGGATTTAAATATCAGAATTCTTTCAGCAAATATCTCCTGGAAATTGAGAAATAGTAAGCATAAACTCTCTCCAGGGGTAGACCAGGAAGGAGTCTTGTCGCGACCCCTTGCCCGCAAGGAAGACGCAACTCAGGAATCTTCTTTCAGCAGTTTATTCAGGCCCTTGATATTTCTTCTTCTTCCTCTCGGATGCCCCTCCCAGCCTTAATAAAGCATCCCAAGCCCCAATGCAAAGCTGCCACGTGGAGCTTTCTCCCAGGGTGGTGAAAAATCATGTGCCAACTTTCCTAGATAAGGAGTTGTTTGTCACAGACCACAGCGGAGCCAGCGTCATCTTGTAATGGCGACCATAGTCTGCAGAAACGGCAGAAGCGGCTCACCACAGTTCCCCCTTTCTGTTTTCTTAAAACAATACAGGCGAGAGTAGAGGTCCTATCCCACTGTGCAGAAGTGGCTGCATAGTATGGCTCAGTCCTAAGGAGGGCCCTTCCCCAGATCTGAGGCCATATCAGCCGACGCCTTTTTTCGTGGGGCGGGGCGTGGACGCGTCTAACCCGCATGCAATAGGACATGCTCTCCTTGAGGTCCTCGTCAAGGATCACTCAAGTGCAGTGCCTTGCCTCGCATCCTGTATTGTGACGATGGTGGACGAAGGGGGATAGCTGAGGCTGAACTGTGGCTGTTTATAATGACAAACAAGTTGACAGCACCCTGAAAGAAAGGCACGGACTTTAAGACGATAGAAAAGCACTAGTGTGGAAACCCATCTGCGTGCAATGGCAGTAAGACTGGCAGAGTGCAAGGGCTTTCCAACACTAAGAGAATAACAAGGAAAGTCATGTCGATCCCAGTGCAATGTTATAATAACTTGGGGTGTAACGACCATGACAAAGGTTTACTGTTTAAGATGTGCAAGCCAGACTTGAGGTGAGTTGCCATTTTCTAAAGCTGCAAGAGCTTGTATGATCATAGCCTTTTCTTGTGCATGGCGAGTTTTAAGGCCACAGAGAAGCCACAAACAAAGTACAACACCGAAGCAACACATTGCACCAAAAATGCCCACTCCCACCCATTCCTTAAAAAAGGAAAAGGCAGAGGATAGCCAACTGGTGAATTGACCCAAAGTCACTGGATTGACATGGGTGCTATTCAGAACAGCAATCTGAGTTAGTTGAGACTGGATCAAGTTTTCTGCTTCCATGGACCAGGTTCCGGATAGATACTCCCCGATGATGCGGGAGGCATTTCTGGAATCATAAAATCTGACAGAGGTTATACATAAATGTGCACGTTGATCAATACAACCCAAATGTACTAGATCAGACAATTCCTCAACTTGAGCTTGAAGTAGATCTATCCTTTGATTAGCAGCCAGAATCCCAGATAAAATGTGTTGATTAATTCTACTTTGAGATTCAAGTATGGTGGATGTTTGTTGAATAACCTGATTAATAGTGGCAGCAGTTTGTACCTGGCTGGCCATGGCTACTCCAGCTATAACTGCTGCAGCAGCAGATACCGCCACAGCTGTCACTATAGCTGCCGTAATTCCAAAATCTCTACGGGCTCTAATCAGTTCAACAATAGGAAATGACTCTGGATCTGCAGTAACCGGGATTGGGACAAAAGTTGGAATTTTCATAACCATTGCCGTAGTCCAGGAGCCATTCCAACACTCAGACAAATAACAGGTAATATTAGAACAATTAAGCATCCCCTGTAATGTAACATTAGCCAAAAGAAACAGGAACGGAGATTGGAGGTGGACTGCTGTGGAGGGTAATATAGCATAAAACAATTGTGAATTGTGTGAAGTAATTTTAAGTCTCCTACCTCGCTCCGAGTCTTGGGTACTGCCAGAAACATTAAACAGCCAACTTTGGACTCCTAATATTTCCCTGGGGAAACACAAGCGCGGACTAGACTAGCCCAATCTGAGGGAGTCATGTAAAATCTAGTAAGTCCCTCCACCTGAGTGAGAGTGAAAGCGGCATCTATGCCATAAGTGCGGACAGATTCTGCCAAGGTTTTAATTAGCTTAAAGTCTAAAGGCTCATGATATCTTTCCCTGTTATTGTCCTGAAATACAGGGTATGCAAGTCCCATATCTGTATTAACTGTCCTCCAAACTTGTGCATGAAAAGATCTCCCGGAACCTTGGCTCCCCCCCACATATGGAGGTGGGGCAATCGGCACCATATCTTCTTCTAGATATTCTACCTCCTCCTCCTCAGAGTTTTGTTGACCCATGTTAACTCCCTTCCCCTTCTTACAGTAGGCCTGCATGCCCTGTGTCTCCTTTTTCTTCTTTTTCATTTTTATCTTATGTAGTTGTTGTAACAATATATCAAGGTCCTCAGAACTCTCTGAGTCGCTTGTGTTCTCAGGCGTTTTTAATTCGGTCAAGTCTGGGTAGAGCCTTCTCCTATTTTTATCTTCAGGCTCTTTTGCCTTCTCACTACTGTTACTTTTAATACTCTCTGCCACTTCACTACATGATCCTTCAGATTTTTCCTCATGCAGCTGCTCAAGAATAGCTTGACCCTCACTCACAGCTTCCTGGCATTTACCATCTGTTATACATCCTCTAACTAACTTCCAAAGTGGTATAATGCCACCCTGCAAGGTACCTTGCTCATGAGCGAAATCTAGATCTTTCCCTAATTTGTCCCAGCTGGGAACCGTAAGACTCCCTGAAAAAGCAAACCAAGGAGCCGCTATATCAGCTTCTCTTAAAAACATCTGCAAAGTACTCTGCTTTATCTTAAGTCCTTTTGAATGTAACAACCCATCTAGGGCCAACAAAATTGGGCTTGGAGAAGCAACGCCCATAATGTTTTTAGAGCTATAAAGAAAGTGAAAGTACAAAAGTCCCCGCTCTCTTCCTTTTACAGGGGAGCGTCCCTGTCGTCACAACAACAAAAGAAGCACAAAAAACAAAAGTGAAAATACACAGTGCAGCTGCAATAAAATGTAATGCTCTCTCTTTCTTTACAGAGGAGCTGCCCCGCTTTGGTCGTGGATCCCACTTACCTGGGATTAACCCCGCTTTGGTCGCGGATCCCACTTACCTGGGACTAACCGGTGCACCACCCCTGACTGCTGAAAGTTCTGGTTCCCGGGTTTCGGCACCACTTGTCGCGACCCCTTACCCGCAAGGAAGACGCAACTCAGGAATCTTCTTTCAGCAGTTTATTCAGGCCCTTGATATTTCTTCTTCTTCTCTCTCGGATGCCCCTCCCAGCCTTAATAAAGCATCCCAAGCCCCAATGCAAAGCTGCCGCGTGGAGCTTTCTCCCAGGGTGGTGAAAAATCATGTGCCAACTTTCCTAGATAAGGAGTTGTTTGTCACAGACCACAGCGGAGCCAGCGCCATCTTGTAATGGCGACCATAGTCTGCAGAAACGGCAGAAGCGGCTCACCACAGAGTCTCCTCATCTGAGAGCAAAGACAGCTCTCGGTGCTGGTGGATGGCAGCCTTGGCTGCTGGAACTCAGTCGGCTGCCCAGACTTTCCCAGCACCTAGAAAGTCTTCCAAATTTCCATTTTTAGGCCAAGTAAAATGAGCACTATGCTATAGTTCAGCTTTTTAAAAAGAGGAATGATGTTATGCTAGAGTTGCTTTAAAAATGGGCGAAAATGGAAACATATCTAGAACTTGTTAACTTTCAATAATTTTGTAAAAGTAGGTAAAATGCTTCTATAAGCAGGATGTATATTTGCAAAATCATTTGTTGATGATAGTTTTACAAATATAAATATATGTAACCTGTATCTGAGAAATATTTTCATGTATTTATTGTTTAAAATGATTTCATTTAAAAATTGTCAGCATTTTAATGTATTTAATGTAGACTGTGACTTTTTAAGTAATGTATATTTTTATTTTGCTCTCGAGGAATTTTTAACAATACTCCATAGTGTATTTTAATCATTCTGTCCTAAGGACTGTAAAATGACTTGAAAATTAACCACCTGAACATTGGGTTTCAAAGTGAGAGAAAGCTGGGTGACGCTCTGATTATCAAGCAGGCAGACTGCAGAGCTGGCCCCTTGGGTCAATGGGGATGGGACTGCAGCAGTTTCCCTCCTTATGGACTTTGTCCCTGCTGGACCTCCAGGAGGCCTAGGAGGCTCCACTTCCTTCTTTGTTGAAGAGGGTGTAATAAAGGGCAATCTAATTTTACAAAAGTCACCTATAACACTTCACCTGAACGTATCCATTTTCTAAAGCTCTTATTTCCTTATACAGAAGGAGGGCATGTCCTGGCACATCCTGATCACCAGACTCCTAAAAACTGTACTGAAATGGCAAGCCCCTGGGTCATCATGGGGTGAAAACAAAGTACCAATGTCCCAGTGAGCTCTCTGCCTCCTCTTAATCCTGCCTGGTCAGCCTGATGCCATCCATGTGATAGAGCCATGTGGCTCTCTACAGGATGTTCAGAAGACTCAAGTCTCCCAGGAGAACAGAACCACTTCTTACAGCCCTAAGGTGGAACCCAGTGCATCTGTCTCCTTATCTTTTGTGATCAAGATGGAAAAGTACACCTTCACCAAGTCAATGGTCGAATGCCGTGAACCCTCCCTGAGAAGATGCCACGTAGACATGTCAGCCACCGTGAGAGCTGCTGCTGATTCAGCTGGCAGGTGTCTGCGCCTGTTCTTCAGGGTCTACCTGGTTTCAGCAGGGACCAGGTTGATGAGTTACAAGGAGATGTGGTGGGGACCACCTTTGCATCCTTGGAGTCCTTGAGATCATCCTCACCATCTCCGAGATGCAGTTTGGGTTTTGATTTACTATCAGGCCAGGGGAGTGACCAGCTAAGGCAAGTCTGTTAAGCTAAGGTGAGGGCACTGATTGGGAAAACCTTGGCCCCTGACACACACATGGGAGTATCTGCCTTTAAAGATTGCCACTTTGATTTTTTTTTTTCAATTAAGTCCCAAGTTTGGCCTTTGGCCTTTAGTGATAAGTTCTTCATTTAGTGTCACTTGCTCAGTTTTTCTTTACCCCTCTGTAGGTACAAGACTTAATAAAGTACAAACTTTATTAACTTTATAAAGTACAACACTTATTAAAGACCAAAAAAGTACAAAACTAAAGAACTAACACCAGAGTGCTTCATTGTGAGTGCAGCCCCTCCTAACATCACACAGCCAGTGGATCACTCCTTCTCATTCCCTGTGAAATTGCTCTCCTTCCTCTCCCTGGGCCGCACATTGTACTCACCATGCACAGTTGACATTAATTTGGGAAATGGGCCTGTTACTTGATAGATCAGTTAAGGACAAGAAAAGTACATATAATATTTCACCCGAATGTTTCCATTTTCTAAAGCTCTTATTTCCTTATGCAGACAAATACAAGTCTTAAACTGTTGTGATCTTCCTTCTCTGAAAAAAATTATTCTAGCAATCTTCCTAAGTGGTAAATGACCTCAACTTTGGTTTTAAAAAGCCCTTAGTTCTCCTCACTTTTGAAGATACAGAATTTTTGTTTAAAAATTTAAAAGTTTAAAAACAATTATGCATTGCTTCATGACAGGGCCATGTTCTGACAAATGTGTCCTCGGGGGCTCTTTGCCTCTGTGTGAACATTGTGCGTGGTGCACACACTAGGTGGTGGCCGGCCACCATTGAGGTGATGGGATGTATGGGACCACTGTCTCATCCGTCCTTGACCAAAGCACCAGCATGCAGGCACACCTCTCTTCTGCATGGCTTCTAAGACTTCTATAACTCTTCCTCTTCTTCTTCTGCAAGATTTTCTTCTTTTCCTGGGTGCTTTGAAGATCACACCTTTCCTGGACATTGAAAACAACATATGCAGGTGTTTTGTTTATGTGGTTTTGCTATTGACCTTCCTTTGTCTTCTCTGACCTGTATGTACAGGATTCAGTGTCTGTCTTTTATTGAAGAAAGTATTCTCCTAACCAATCACTGTGTCCACTCCTGATTTCTAGTTATGTGACTCTCTGTTATGTGACACCTTTCAAATTGTCCTACTCCCCTTAGGAGCACCAGGCAGGGCAGGTGGGGTGAAGTGGGGCATTTCCCTTCTCCAGGGCATGAGGGCTCTGTGAAATAGCAATTCAGCATATGCTCAGTGCCCCCCACCCCTGCCAGAGGCCGGAGGCCGTTTCCCTGCTCCTCAGGCCTGGAGCAGCTCCTGGAAGTAAGCTTGGAGACTCTGGGTCCCTCCATGGGTGGCGGGAGTGTCCATCTCAGCTGTCGCCCCACAGCCCCAGCTCTGGGACAGGTGCCCCTGCCAGTTGCAGGCTGCAGCTTTGGAGTCTGCTCCCCTGCTTTCCTTCTGTGTTCTGTGTCTGTCTGTCCAGCTTCAGGGAGGTGGGCAGACCCCAGTTCTCTCATGAATCCCAGAAGAGTTCGTGTTGAGTTCGTTCGGCGTTTTTCTTGTTGTGAGAATGCAGCTGGTGACTCATGCCCTTGACCTGCTAGAGCAGAAGCTACGAGGCTTTTAATATGTTTTCAAGTATAATTTAAGGTGAAATTGATACCTTTCATTTCCTGAAAACATTATGCCACTCAAAAACTCTTTGATGAAATTTCTTTTAAAATTATTTGTCTGTTTTTTAAGTCAGGCCATTTGTTTTCTTATTATTGATTTTGGAGACTTTTACATATTCTGTATAAGTCTGCCATGAAATGTTAAGAATCACAAGTAGATATTTTTGCCTGGGGTTTTTTTCCTTTTATTCTCTTAACAGTGTTGTTGGAAGAGCACAGGATTCTGTTTTGGGTGCCATCTCTAAGACAAACTGGCCAATGTCAAAGTTTCAACTGTTTTCTCCTATGTTTTCCTCTGGGATATTTACAGTATTAAGTTATACATTTTCAAGAATAATCTACTTGAATGAAGATTTTTATGTGGTACAGAGCACTGAAGTTCATTTTTATATGGATGTTCAGCTCTTGTGGTAGAAAACCAGCATCTCTTATCCACTACCCTGCTTTGTAACCTTGTCAAATTGTACTTTCTGTTCTCTTTCTAGACTTTCTCTCCTGTTCCTCTGGCCCACATTGTGTCCACATGCCCACCACATGGATGTAAGGTAACATCAGAGTAGGTCTTGAGACCAGGTCATGTCAGACCTTCTGCCTTGTCCTTTTCCAAAGCTCTCTGACTGCTCTAGCTCTTCAGCATCTCCATGGGATTTTTAGAAGCAGTTAGTCAATTTTCACATGAACTGACAGTTTTGTTTGAAATTACATTAATTTAGATCAGGTTTGGAAAAACTCATTTTGTAATTTTATTCAGTCTTCTGAATTTTCCCAAGCATTATTTTATGGTTTTCAGTGAAAAAAAAAAATATCTTTTGAAATACTTCGATTCATGATATCTTTTCCCATTTTTCACTATTTGGGGAAAATATACACAACATAAAATTGACCACCAGGTTACTTTTAAGGGTACAGTTCTGTGGTGTGAAATGTAATGATCTTCCATTCTGTGGCCCTGAGGCTCTGGGCCGATAAATACATGTAGCTCCCACTCCCTTCTTCTAGTCTCTGGCCACCACCATCAACTCCTAATACTTCATCTTAAAGTATAAGTTTTTAATGGTATTCTAAGTGATACTGCTTTTGAATTTCCATTTCTGATTGTAATTGCTAGCCCTTAGAATTGGTAATTATGTTTTCTGAAAGCTCAATTGATATGTTTCTGCATTTAGACTTGACTCTTCCTAAAATCAGAAACTGCTTTTCTGAGCCCTCTATTCAAAGTGTCAATCAGGAGTGTGAATGAATGGGTGAAGGTTGATTTGAACTTCTCTGCCTGGCATTTTCTTATACCCTGCACCTGGGAAAGTTAGGAACTTCCT